TGCCTCACGCCTTCGGGTCTGCTTGGCCTTGTGTGCCGAGTGGTGTGAAGCTGTGAAATCTCCGCAGCGTGGTGGAGGGAGGTTCAGTAGGAGACGTTACTCCTGTCAGGTGGATGAAATTGGGCAGGTGTAGGAACGCTTACTCCAAGTTGTACCTTTGTAGCTGTTCAAGAAGTTATTTTGATATAAAATCTCAGTATGCATACCTATTTTTCCTACAGTAGGTACTACTTAAGGAAATCCTATGGGAAGTAGAATTTTACGCATTCCATTTAGATAAGGATGAAGTTATTGCGTTTGTACTGATGCCGATCTGAAGATCAAGAGCTAAGGTAGTCAGACATAGCTGCTACTCTGGGCAATGTAAAGTGATGTCAGAGGCATTGCAGCTTGTTTGGCCTGCAAATTAAAAGTTCCATGTTCTGTTAGGAGCTTGGTTAGTCACTGAATTTTATTAACTATGAGGGGGAAAAAATGGTGTATTTTGCAACTGCTTTCTTTTAGACTTCAAATATTTACCATCTGAAGCAGTAACATTTATAATTAGATAGAGCTTTGTTACTTTGTGAAGTTTAAGATTTAGCATGCCGAAGCTTGAAGCAAATGCAGCAATTAACGTTTCAAGATGTCTGAATTGAGGTTATTTTTATAGCTTTTTTTGAAGTTCAAAAAGTAAGACTTTCTTGTGTCATTTTGAGTTTAATCATCTGCACTGTAATTAAAGATATTAACATTCAAGTTCATCTATTCTCTGCCATTATAGAGTAAAAAAAAGGATTTCTAGAATATATTTAAAATAATAAATTATCTTTAACCTAGGTAGATGCCAGTTTGCAATGAGTCTTAAAACCATCTGGAAGGACTACAAAGTTCTGATTGTTATGGGAACTAGCCTTGGGCTGGTGCACTGGGGCTGGTTTTACGTGAAGTCCAGTCCTATTTTCCAAGTGAAGACGGAGGACTTTGTTCCAGAACCTGGGATTGTGACATATGTGATGCAAAGCGATCACAAAAATAAAGAAAAATAACATTAGCGCTATGTATTATGGGTAAGTTGCCTAATTAGTTGTATCTGTATGTTTGAGGCAGGAGATGAGTCAAATGAGAATTTTTGAACAGATGCAGTCTTGCTGCTCTAACTTTAGTCTTCCACACTTTCATTCTTTTTTGCAGCTGAGTTAATCTGGTGGTTACATGGACCCAAAAAGTACATCATGATAAATCTCAAAAACTACTGCAAAATCCCATGTCATGATCAATGAAGTGATGGCATTACAGGTCTTAAAGACATTTCAAAACAAACTCCCAGTAACTTCAAGGCAACAGTCAAAGTCTTGTGACTGACTGGGTCTGCAACAGTGTCCTTTCAGGTTCAAAACCACCCAGAAATAATTGTGACTTTACATAGTAACATATTCTGTGTTGTTAGTAGGGATAGTACTTTACACTAGAAAACAAAAGTAAGTATAAGAGAAGTCCAAATTCTGATTACATAGAAATGTAAATAAATATCCTTTGAGTTTTGAAATGTTTTAAGAACTGAAAAAAAAATTGTATGTTAGGCATTTTGAAGTAAGAAACCTTTCTTTCAGAGGCAGACGTTTCTTAAAGTTGTTTGAACATTAAAAGCTTTTGTTTCTGAAGTGGTTGCCTGGGAAGCAGTGCTCAGTAGTTCAGTTCTTTTGTTTGCAAGTAGAAACTATACTTTTGATCCTTTAATACAATTCAGTGCAGTTTATAGCAGCCTGTTACTTACAGACCTACGAGTAAAACACTAAACTGGTAGTCAGAATTGAAGTTTTTAACATGTATAATTTGTGTACTATATGCTTGTAATATGTATTGTATTAATAACAGGTTTTCTCAATTAAAAAGCATTACAGCATATATAGGCCAATCCTGCACTTGGGTCACAGGAACCCCACACAATGCTACAGGCTTGGGGAACAGGAGCTGGGAAGCTGCCCAGTGGAAAAGGACCTGGAGGGGGGTGTTGGTCGACAGCCGGCTGAACGTGAGCCAGCAGTGTGCCCAGGTGGCCAAGAAAGCCAATGGCATCCTGGCCTGTATCAGAAATAGTGTGACCAGCAGGACCACGGCAGTGATTGTCCCCCTGTACTCAGCACTGGTGAGGCCGCACCTCGAGTGCCGTGTCCAGTTCTGGGCCCCTCACCACAAGAAAGACCTTGAGGGGCTGGAGCGAGTCCAGAGAAGGGCAACGAAGGTGGTGAAGGGTCTGGAGCACAAGTCTGATGGGGAGCGGCTGAGGGAGCTGGGGGTGTTTAGCTTGAAGAAGAGGAGGCTGAAGGGAGACCAGATCGCTCCCTACAACCACCTGAAAGGGTGTAGTGAGGTGGAGGTTGGTCTCTTCTCCCAGGTAACTAGTGATAGGACAAGAGGAAATGGCCTCAGGTTGCACCAGGGGAGGTTTAGATTGGATATTAGGAAGAATTTCTTCACCAAAAGGGTTGTCAAGCATTGGAATGGGCTGCCCAGGGAAGTGGTGGAGTCCGCATCCCTGGGGGTATTTAAAAGACATGTAGGTGTGGTGGTTAGGGACATGGCTTAGTGGTGGATTTGGCAGTGGTAGGTGTATGGTTGTATTTGATGATCTTAAGGGTCTTTTCAGACCTAAATGATTCTATGATCCTATAGTTTGGTGGGTTTATTATATAAATTTTTTGTGAAAAATAAAATAGCAGTTCAAGCTGTGTGATATTGTCATAAGATTATCCTAATACCTTTCTGGTTTTTATTGTAGGTTTAACTAGCTTTGAAGCTTTTCGCCTGTGAGTGTTGCCAGAAGAAGAGATGAGGAAAGCTAGCTGGAGTAAAAAAAACTTCCTGCTTGTGGCAGGGCTGTCACTTATAGGTGTCCATTTTGGAAGCATGCTTGTAAACTTTGTTGCAAAAAAATCTGTTCGATCACATTCAGAAGCTAAAAAAGATCGTCATGAATGAAATAGCTTGCTGCTATCCTTAAGTATCAATTTCACAATGGGACTTGTGTTGCTTTAAGAGATCATGAGCAGTCACAGAAATGTTGTTATAGTACTATATGTAATGTTTGCCATTTAAAATAATAATCCTGAGCTGCAAAGAATTGAAGTGTACTACTTTAAATTTTAAAAGTGCTATGAATTATAGATCCAAGTAAAAATGAAATCTGTTTTGTTGGCCAGAATTAAAATCTTACTTTGAAAATGACTCGTCTTGAAGCTAAAAGGCCTCCATTATTTATTAATGAACCTTTAAGTAAAGATACAGTTAGTCAGTCACTGTCTCTGCTGAGTGGAATATTCAGATCTTGCTATGGTCCTGCTGGGAGACTCAAGCAGCTCCACAACGGTGTGGGAGGCTATGTTTGTACAACTTCACAATCTTCAGCTATACTCAGTCGTCTTTCTGTCAGTCATCCTGTGTTAAGTGTTTTGACGGCCTCTGTACAGAACCATATATCCCGCTTCAGTGACTGTGGCTTATTTACTGCCATTCTTTGCTGTAGTTTGATTGAAAACTTTAAAAGTTTAAATGTTGCGTCTTGCGCTGTCGTTAAAATAAGCAAGCATCTTTTGAGTTTGTGTGTGGACTACCTCAAATCTGAGGCCTGTGGTTGCCGAGTATCTGTGGATTTTAGCAGTGTTGAGACCCTTCTTTGTTTGGTACGTAGCATATTAACGAGCAAACCTGCTTGCATGCTTAATAAAACAGAAGTTGATCATCTCACCACATTGATTTTAAAGGCTTTTATATTTACTGTTCCATGTCATGTTGAGACTAATGCTGTTTTAGGAAAGTGTATAATAGTACCTGTGAAAGGTAGAAGAGTTGTGGAGTCTACAGTTTTTCCTGGACTACTGATAGAAACACCAGAAATTCAATTGGCAAAACCACTTACTGTCAGAAGAACTTGTTCAAACATGGTCAAGACAGCGGTTTTCTGCGTGTCCATGTCAGGAGACTGTTTTGGCCCTGAAGAGGGAACTGTAACAGTCCATCATGGAATTTCTCTAGAAATCTTGGAGCTGAATCAGTTGCTTAATGTAGGAAAGCAGCTGGTTAATGATGAAATTGGCCTCGTAGTGTGCCAGAAAGTTATCCATCCGTCCTTGAAACAGTATCTGAAAGAGAACCATGTCATCGCTGTGGACAGAGCTGGGCTATCTCTGATGGAACCCCTGAGTCGGATGACAGGTAACAAGCAAGTTTTCTGTATTAAATACTTATCCCTAATGTTCATCTTGTAATGAAAAGCTGTCTAGGTTGGTGTCATTGCAGAGTAAGGATTCTCTTATTTCTGCCTGTATCCTATCTTAGCAGCTGAGCAAAAGTTGTTATTTTCTAGTCTGAAAACCATTTTTTAAGGTGAGATTGGTCTTTTGCGGGTTCTGATGACATACTACACACGTGATTACTGATTGCTGCATGAGGAATACCCAATTATAGTAACTGTTTCCAAATATAGATTATTTTCAAACTTATTTAATGAGAATAAAACAATTACTTTTTTAATATTAAACTATCACTAGGTCTTGCACTTTGGAAACCTGTTGATTTTTGTTTGTGATTTCCTGTGTAGATTGAAATGTTAGGTATTGAAGAACATATCTAATTTGTAAAGCCAAGAGGAAAAAAGTTCATACTTTATGAAATGCAACAGATAGCTGTTCTGATGACAGTAGTGCATACTGTTCTCTGCTTTTCTTAATTGGGCAGGTTCAAAGCCTATCGCTTCCATACATTTGTTGTCTCCTAGTTGTTACGGCAGTTTGAAAGATGTGCGCATTGAGAGCGTTGCTTCAAAACACTTTGTGCATCTGATTCCAAAGGACACGGTTGTCTGCAGCTTGATACTCTGTAACAGAAATGAAACAGCATGGGATGAATTGAAGGTAGGCAAATTTTCTTGAAATTTTTCTTCAAAAGTTGTGTTTTTAATGGAAAAATAGTGATAATTACAGATAGAGTGAGTTTAGAAAAGTGATTTTTCAGTACATAAATGGAGTTTGGTTAGAGTTCAGGTATACAATTTCAAGAAAGCAATTCAGAAATGCCCTTGTTTCCAGAACCTCAGAATCCTTGAAGTGCTCATGTTCATTTAGTGCCTCTATTTTAATATGGGAAATTGTTTAGAGACAGAAACATTTTTCACCTGTTCTTGAGGCCAGTACTGGATAAACATTTTCATTCTCATTACTTGGTCTATGAGAGCATAGAGAAAAAATTGCCCAGCCAAAGGCCAGCAGCAATACCTGCAATGGTAGTCAAACATAGTTTTGCACTGAATAGTTGCTCTAGAAATGTCATTAATACTGATTGACTTTCTATATATAACCCTGTTTTGCAAAAATAAGGAATAAAAATGCAGCTTTTTTATTTCTGCTTTTCTGTACTGAGTGTGGACGAATAAAGACAATTTTTCATTAAGTGAAAATGGTTTTGGAAATCACTCCGCAGCTTTATATCCCCATGTAATTCAAGTTTGTGAAGTCTGTACCAGAAACGACTGAAAATTTTATTCCAGTAGTTTTTTCAGTGGGGGCAAATCCTATTAATCATGGTATGTCTAACAAATTCATATGGTTTTCAGCGTGCCTGTGAAACTGCAGAACATGTGTTACAGTTAACAATCAAGGAACCTTTGGCATTATTAGGAGGTGGCTGTACAGAAACTCACCTGGCTTCGTACATAAGACACAAGGTATGCAAGACACAAGGTTTTTTTAAAGCTGCTTAGTATACTTGGGAAACAAGAATTTGTATAGAATCACTGCTACAGTTAAAACACTTGTCTCTTCTAGATTAATGTTGCATTTTTGCTGTCTACTAATATAAAACAAAGGGGTGTATTTGAAGCACTCAGTGCTAATTACACCTTTCAGAGTTGTTAATACTGTATTTGTACTTGTTAATTTTTCTTTAGGTATCTATTATAGTAAGTGCTTGTTTTTTAAGTGTTAGAAAAAAAATCTGGATATTTTTATTCTATTGAAAGATAATCTTGCAGAACTCAGCTTTGACTTCTCTAAAACTCTTTCCTATTGTGGAATAATCATCACACGAACATTTTTTAGTTAGAATTGAACCATCTCTTTATAAAAAAGCAACAGTATGATATATGTTTTATTAAAAGTATTTCTATAATACAGTGTTCTAATTTTCTGTTTTCCTGGTTTTGTTTTTTTAGAGTTGTAGTCTGTCCACCAGCATTTTTAAAGATCTAGATTGTTCTCGGACACAATACCAGTTGGTTGCTGATGGTTTCTGCCGTTCCCTGGAGTCTGTAGCTTGCTCTCTGAATCATGATGATGGAGAAATTCTTACAGACACGGCTTATGGACACTGTTGGTTTGTTCCATCATGTTTTCCCTCTGTCTCTAATTGGTCAGACTTAGTTTCAAAATGCGGCTGTGGGATTAACAGTAACACTGAGAATCTCAACTGGAGGCTGCTGCAAGGCCAGTTTGGGTCTCCTGTTATACAGGGCTGCCCTAAAGGGCCTTCAGTAAAGGTTGCTGACTTTCTGACACTGGACTGTTTTGCTGCAAAGTGTAGTGGCCTACAAGTAGCTCTGGAAACAGCCAATCTGATTTTGGATCTCTCATATGTAATTGAAGATCAAAATTAGCTCTGATCTTATGTGAGTTGTGTTGCACAGCAAGATACTTATTTGAAATCAGGGTAATGTGTATTGTGTTGAGATACTTTAAATGATTAGAATATGGACAACAGACAGGAATTTTAAATCAGTTGCCCATTAAGTACTCTTCTGATAATCTGCTGTGCCCTCAAACGTTTTCAAATGTTTAACATGTTGTTAGGAACAATTAAATGATTAGCCAAATGTACGATGAATACTACTAACATATGACTTAAGAGTATTCAAATTAGTGTATTCAAAAGAATGAATGACACTTTGATATTCCCTCTGCATTAAGGAACGTTTTGGATGTTTGTTAGCTCTGTGGCTTCAAAGGAATCAGAAAAATGGATTCACTTGCTGAGCAAATGTATATTATAGACTAGAATTTATGTAGTCTCAGCAAAAGCTTTTAACGTTCAAACAGACTTTTGTATTGCAGCAGAACTTTATTGCTAGTATTTTTGATTTTGTTGGTAAAAAAGAAGGCTTTCCTTAGCAAATATCTTGAGCTACTTGTTTTCAAATTTTATTCTGAAGTTCTTATAACTACTGTATGCAGTTTCTGTTTCTTAAATGGCTGGAAGATTTTAATTCACATGTAACTTATTTAGCAAATTATTAAAACACAACCTGGAGATCTTAGGGTAGCAGTTAGGTCATAGATTTGGAAAGAAATGGCAGACTGTGTGGAAAAAAATTTTTGTAAAGTGGACTTTGGTCTTCTGTGGAATCAAGGACAGTTTATAAGTAATGTTTCTATCATTTAAGCAAAGCTGCAAGAAAGAATGTCGCACTTACCATTCAATTAACTCTTTGACTGTGCATAGCTTCTTTACTTTTAATGAAGTAAGGCTTTAAGCTGCTCAGCTTGTTTTGATCTTTAAATAAGGCTGTAGACTGAGCGATCAAAACTTTTTCTCATTTTCAGCTTGCATGCAAGATCAAAAGGGGTGTTACAGTTTCTTGCTTAAACTAATTTTCTTTGTCCCTTTTCTCCCTCTTTGTTTTCAGTCACAAGGGACAAATTGTTCATGACATGCTTTTCCAGAAAATGTCTGAGTTAGACTAGTCTGCTTATTTGCTTCCTGGTCTCTTAAGTTTTTAATATATTTACTGAATATAAGCAGTAGAATTGTTTTGTATAACTCACTTTTGAAATATGTAATTAAAAACAGATTTTTCTGGACATTTGTGCAAAGTCCTTTTCATTTTAAGAGCATAAATAAGCATTTTCTCACTGGAAAAAATGAAAAGTTATTTCAAGTTCTTTATCTTTTTATGGCCTGAAATGATTGCTTCAGTGTTATAAAGCATCCTTTGGGAATTTGTGGAAGAATGGACAGGCTCTGTCACAACCCTTGTAACAAAGTTGGCTGCTAAAAAGGCTGCTTTCATATCTTGATCCTCCCATATACCATGAATCGTGTGAAAACATCAGGAATAATGAAGCCAAATGCTGGTGTATATCTTAAGGCACAGAAGAATCTTGGTAATACTTCATCTCATTATGATACTCTAACTTATTGAATTATTTTATTGAATTATTTTTTGAATTATTTGAATTATTTATTGAATTATTTTACTCCCTATAATAGCAGCTTGTTATGCAGTGCAAAAATGTTGAGTTTAGTGACTACAGCTGTGAAGTGAAAATTAAAACAATATTTAAGTAGAAATAGTTGCTTGTGTTCTTTTGTCTTGGTATCTGAAGGTTGGTTCACAGCTTCTACAAAACTGTTGTTAGCTGATTCTACTCTTCTTCCCTCCCATACCCCGTTTTAAGAAAATCACACACTTGAAAATTGTGGAAAAAATTAAATTTCATTTTTGGTAGGTAAAAATTAATTTGTACCTGAACCAAAGATTGTTTCATATATAGACAATTTTAGTAACAATGCCTTTTTTCTCCTAATGTGGCTGAAAAGGATAAATAAGCAGCTGGCACTGCTTGATCATGGACAGTTCAGGGTCAGTTCTCTGCTGTGTTACAGTCTTCCTGAACCTTTAGGGGTTAGCATTACCCTGGCTTTAAGGAGTGACATAGGAGGAATACAACTTTGGATGCTGTTTAAAATGCAAGTGAATAGAATTTTGACACTCAATCCAAGAGCAACATAAAAAAACTTTGCTGAACTCCCATGTTTCCTGGTAAAACTTAGGTGCAAAAATGGTGGGTTTTCCCCCCTGCGCTTTGAAATGGGCAAAATGAAATATCCACAGTTGCAAGTCCTCTGAGAAGCCACTGTGGTTTTATTCCTGCTACCCTAGGAATTTTAAGTTTGTTCAGTGGGAAAAATTAGCATTACAGAAATATTGAGACAAGTGTTTTCTGATCATGACCTGTCGTGTCTGTTGACTTCCACAGATTGCTCAGAGGCTATTAATTTAAATTTTAATAATTCTACTGATAATGCACAAGAAGTAGGAACATTCATCTCCAGCCTTTTCAGCTGTGTGAGTGGTCCAGGCTGAACAGGAGCAAAAAAGTGCTGATACTATAATTACGCAAGTCAGCATGTTCAAATAAGATGCCAGTTTAATATAGTTGCTCTTCAGTATTTCAGTTCCCATTTGGTATTTAAAACTTCAAAGTGAAGAAGGCCTGAAAATGCTGATTAATTTAGGGATCTTCAGTATTTCTATTGTTGCATCCTATTTCAAGTAGACATACCATTAAACATCACTATTTTGGCACTGGCAAAGAAAGCAGAATACCTGCTTTTCACTGATTCTGCTGCTGATTTGTGAATTTGTAGAGTCGCTCTAAGCCATATGTGAAGTCTTTTTCTGTCTATTTTCCTATCTGTGATACAGGAACAAAGATAACTCTTAAGTCACAGAGATTTGTGGGTGAAGAGTTTTAAGTGAGATCCAGATGTGAAGTGAAGGAACTACTTGCTGCACAGGAACAGGGAAACAAATAATTCAAAACAGACTCAAAATCTTGCTTATAGTAATTTCATTAAGGTAACTTTGGACAGGGTTTATGTAGACTCCTTAAACTAGTCTGCTAGGTAAAACTCCCCTGTTCTCCTTGTATATTGAACTTCAATGGATTTTCTTTTTTTTCTGAAATTTCACTAATGGTATATTACTGTTGCTAACAGTAACCTAATTTATTGCCTTGCATCTTTAGTACACACATGCAGAGAAATGTGAGCTTAAAGCCCTGTGCAGGAATGGTTGAACAGCAATCCTTACTGTATCATGTATGTCTTTAGAATCTGTGCTCTGCATGTGTTTCAGACCAGACGTTCATATGATGCTAGTCCTTGAAGACAGGTAGAAAGAGTTTTATTAGTTTGGGAAACCTAATCTTACTGTATCGGTAGTGTAACACTGATCTTTTTTTTTTTTTTTGTTTCCCCCCGGAAGTATTTGGGCATTTTTAGGCTAAGCAACTGCTGTAGTGTTAGCTCTGACCCGGTAAGGGAAGAGAGTATTTATTGTTGTCAAAGCTTGTAAGAAAAATACTGCCTGGAATATCACAAGCACAGTAGAGCATGTAGAAAACAATGCACCTTACCCAAAATCCGAACTTTTTTGTTTTACTTGTGCCCTTATTTTGCTGTACTGAGTAGCAAAATGTAGTATTTGTCACATTCTCAGCAGTGCCATGTGAACTGAGTCATGTAAGCACTACACTCTTCAATCTCAGAAAAGTCAGTATCTGTGAGTCAGTCAATGTCATAGGAGGAATTTCAGCTGGATTTGCATTTACTACTGTTCTGAAGGTGAAGAAACAGTCTGGTTTTTATTGCGAAGAGACTGCCTCCAGCATGCTTATAACCTATGCAGACAGGCTTTTTGAGAAGTCAGTTGCTAGTCACATTACAATGTTTATTTTGAGAATTTTAGTAGCTTTTATTCAGTAATGTAAATACAAGTTATTTCTACCTGCTTGTCAGCAGAGACAAATTGGACAGTGCTAATAAATAACTTTTTGGCCAGTAACACTGTGATCTTAAATTCTCAATTAAGAAATACCTTTACTTTTTGTCTACATACATTGCACCGTATAAATTAGTCATGCACATTATAAACTCAAAAGTATATACAGATTTATTCTTTATGCTGGAAGCAGAAATACAGTCACAGCACATGTAGATAGAGCCACCATGTCATTAGTCCAGATGCTAATAAAATTAATTGCAGAATAAATTCCAGGATTGGGCTGGGTGCTTTATATCTTTAACTGTGCTGACTTCCATTATTCTTGACCTAGATTTTCACATTAAGCATATATAAATATCTTGTAGATGTACCTCCTGCAGAATTTTATTTTCATACCTTACTACAAACATCTTTATAAAATTGAACTTTCAAATCTGCCTGCACATTAAAAACCCTTTATTCAAGCTTTTATTGTGTGCCTTGAAGGCCACAGCTGTGTACTGTCTGGCTTCTAAAAACTAATTACTGGTGTATTTGTTATTTTCTGTCCTGACAACATCAGCTCTCTTCAGGTACACATTAAATACTAGTTGCTTCTTATTATAATGCTATTACACATTGTCTGCTAAGCATTTGTGTGGCAGCATACCGCAACATCAACAGCTCTTCCTTATCAATAACTTTCTTTTTATAAACCATTAAATGTTTTTTACAAGTAATGAAGCTGAATCACCTCTATTTAATCTTTAAAAGCCATCCTTAGTCTCTTCTCCCTTAAGACTTACGATGTGGTTAGTCTAATCTGTTACACCTGATGAGTATTGGGGGTAAAAAAGTGGGAGGTTGGAGGGAAAATGAATTCCCTAGTCTGTGGTGATACTTGGAAAGAGTCTGAGTCATCGCTTGTGAAGGGGTTATGCAGGATCCTCTGCTGATGGATGGTGTACTCAAGGGTGATGACTGAGTGATTTTTCAGGGAATTGTAGGGACTGTGGTAGTTCCAGTTCTTGAGAGACTTTGTGACTTTGAGAGGCAGAAGAAAAACCGTTGCACCCTCATTTATTACTCCTTGTTCACGTGCCAGCGGACCC